GTGGGGCAGGTAGGGCCAAGGGGTTCAGAGTGGCAGCGCCTGGCGGAACCCAGGGACAGCTGGAGACTCCCCTGCTGACTCTGGTCTCCATGAGGCGCTGCCGCTTTGGAATGCCCTGGAGAGCATGGAGCCAGTGGGGGACTACTTGATTCTCCCACAAGCCCTCTCCCCTATGGTTGCCAGATGGTTGAACCAAAAATACCGAACACCTTCCCCCCCTCACCACCCTCCAAACAAAAAACAAAAAAACACCCCACCGGGGAAAAAATTATCTCGAGGGGAAAAAAAAAAAAGGGGGAGGAGGCCAAAGTTGTTGAGGGAAAAAAAAGGGACTCCGAGACTTATTAAGTAATACATAAATAAATAATAAAACAGCATGGCTTCTTTCAGAGTGAGTGCAGAGTTAGAATAGGGATAGGAACAGGGGAGCAGTTGAACACTAAGACCCAGGGAAGGCATTGCTTCCCCTTGGTCTTTAGGCTTTTTGCCAGCGGCCATTTTGTGTTTTTGTTCAAGCCAGAACTTAGCTTCCCTGCGGAACCAGGTAAGCATGGGCTCTGGGGGCGGGAGGCGGGAGAGGCCGGGGGGTTGCCAGGTGTCTGGTATTTTCGCCTCCTGGCCAGGAAAAAAAAATAAATCAGAAAATACCAGATATTTTAGGTGTCCGGTATTTTCTGATTTTTTTTTAACCGAACAGGAGGTGAAAATACCGAACACCTGGTAACCCTACTCTCCCCACTGTGCTTTAACCTTTGAAGTGTAGCAACAGCCCTGGGGCTATTGCTATACTTCAAATACAGAGGGGCCCTTATCAACTAATTGAACAGTCAATGCAAATTGCATCAACTATTCGATTAGCCAATTAATCTAAATTTAACATCTCTAGTTGAAGTATCAATTGCTATCTATGACCAATGAGAATGGAACTAGCCACAGTTCATGGACTGAATTCAAAGCGCTCTGAAACACTCCCACTAAGGGTATGTCTACACAGCCAAGTTATTTCGAAATAACTTTCCTAGCGTCTACACAGCCAAACCACTATTTTGAAGTAAATTCAAAATAGTGGAGCGCTTATTTTGAATTTATAAACCTCATTCTATGAGGAATAATGCCAAATTCGAAATAGCTATTTCCAGGGCTCGTCAATTAGGGTAATCTACTCACCCGTGGCGAGTACATTTTAGCCCGGGACAGCGCCGCAGCGCGATTAGTGCATGCGCAGCACGGTCTGCACATGCACAGCATGCAAAACCATGCAGCTGGCAAGCAGAGCTCGCTGCTGCTTGTCAAGCCCTGGCTATTTCGAAATAAGTGCTGTGTAGACACTTATTTCGAAATAGGGGGCCTCCAGCCTTCACAGGTGCTCTGGTGGCCACTCCAGCCTCAACCAATAACACTTCTCTCTCTACCCCCCTCCCCGGAGCCCTTAAAGGGGTAGACTCTGGCCACAGTGCCTGTGCCAGCTCCAAGCCTGCCAGCCCAGAGCAAGCAGTCACTGCCCCTGACCTAGTGGCCCCAAAACATGAGCCAGCAAGCCACTGGAAGCAAGCCCTCCACCATTCCCCAGGAGCAGTTTGCCAGAACCAGCAGAAGGCTGGTGCCTTCCTGGTCCAGGGTGGAGATTGTGGACCTTATTCAGTTTGGGAGGGATACTCCCAATGTCCATGATCTCTGCACTAGATGGAAGAACACAGCTGACAGGATACCTGCCAGCCTGGCCACCAAAGGCCACATGTGAACTCAGGAGCAGATTTGCATGATAATCAAGTTGGTCTGGCGAGACCCCCAACCCTGAGCTTCCCCTCCACCTTCTTCCCCTTGCTTTCCCCTTCCAGCTCCCTCCTCCCACCCTCTCTTCTCCCCTCTCCTGCCTCCTTTCCCCAGTCTCACCAGAGTTTCATTCCCTCCCCCCAAGTTGTTAAATAAAGAGAGTTTGTGTTCATGAAACTACATGTATTTTATTTGACAGCAGGAAGGGGGGGTTAGGAAGCGGTAAGCGTGAGGGAGGAATGAGGCACAAGCTCCCAGTGGGGCAGACCAGGGAGGCTCTTAGTGCTCCTCAGAATGGAAGCTCTCCCGCAGGGCCTCCTGGACACTGACAGCCCCCCAATGACCTCTCGGATGGCAGCCTGCAGGAAGTGAGGCTAAGCTCGCAGCAAGGCATCCAAGAGAAGCACCAGAGTGCCCAGGGGCAGCTCTGGCTCCATGTCCCAAGTGAGCGCAGCCAGAGCACACAGAGACAAATGCTTTGCTGTCCCACATCGAGGTAGGCACGCAAGCAGGGAAAGCTGAAAACCGGCTGTCTGGGGAGGGGGCGGGGGGAGTCCCTTTAAGCACAGACCTCATATAGCCTCAGGCAACAGCCCCACACAGTAAGTCCTGACCTGGTGCCCTGCTGGAACTGGTTCTGGCCAGCCTTAAATACGATTCAGAGTCCACTCAGTGTGGAGGCGCTATTTCGAAATAGCAAAACGTTATTTCGAAATGCATTTTGTGTGTATACGTGTTATTTCGAAATTAGATATTTCAAAATAACACGGTAGTGTAGACATACCCTAACTTACAGATTTTGAACCAAGTACTAGATGAGGCAAAATTACCTATAAACTCTCAGCTAATGGAGAGCAGTGGAGCATGAAGGGAGCTATATTTATATTTATGAATAGGCTCAAACAACAATTCTAACTTGCAAAAGATATGTTAAAAGAGGAATTACAGCCTCAATTTCCTCTTTTTGGTGGTTTAAGACTTTTGTAGTTAATATAAATGCTACTCAAGATCCAATTCTTTAAAGTACCAACTAGCAATTCAGCTCCAAGTGTATGTTTTTGGTTTTCTTGCACCACAGCATCCTGCTTGCCTGGAAGTACAGATTCAGGACCTTCGCTAGGAGGCACAGGAACCTGGAGCAACTCTCCACCAGTGCCCCAGGTGTAGGTCCCAGAGAAAAACACACACAACACCTCCCCCCCTTTGCCCTTGCTCCACCTCTTCCCCAAGCCCTGCCTCTGCTCTGCCTGCACCCCACCCCTACTATGCTCTCTTGCCCCCTCCCTCAGCAATGCAAACCAGGGGATTACAGGGCCTGGAACCAGGTGGAAGCAGGGGTTGCCTTCCCCTCACATTCACCAGAGCAGCAGGAGCCCGAGTGGCCCCATTGCCTACTTTGCCCCACCCCACAACTCTCTCCCAGCCCCGACACCAGGAACTGGAACGCCCAAGCCTGAGATACTTTACTTCTGGCTGCTGCAGTGAAGCAGAGTTGAGCAGGCTGGGACAGGGCACTGGGGCAGAGCAGAGCAGGCTGCTGGGCCACTCCGGATCCTGTTGCTGCAGTGAGTGGGGAGGACGGTGATCCCTGCAATCTCCTGGCTCCCTCCTGTTCATAGGACAAATGACCTGCCACAAGGTCCCCCAAAGTGCAGGGCAGCCACCCCGAATGCCCTATGGATAGGACAGCTCTTTATATACTGCTATATTTTTACCATGCTCCTCTTGCAACAATTATAATGAAACTACCTGTTCCATCTGGTGTGCTGCGAACAAAGGTGGGCAGCATTTTTACTTTTGCTGTTTCATGAGTTTTCTTCCTCAGCCCAGCTTCAATTTCTGTTCGCATCCTTTTTTTAACCTGCAACAGCTGCTCATGAGTAAGCTTGAATTCAGCCAGAGTCTCATCTATCAGCCTGTGCTGCTCAGACAGCCTGTATGCTACTGCTGTGACCATTGCAGCACCCTTTCCACTGCCACTCTCAGACAGAAGAAATCGGACATCTGAGTCAGGAACTAATCGCCTTGTCGTTTTGTGCAAGCGCCTGGAGTATCTGTGAAGAAGAAAAAATTGTAAAATAGTAATCTCTCTCAGGTCAGCTCAAAAACCTGCACTGGTCATCGCTGGCTATACACATGAAGGGAACATGGGATATATATTAGCTTTTCTGCCTTTGAAATTGGTCAGTCGCTGCTTTCTGCTACACAGTGGGTTTTTCATTGCAAGTGTTCCAACCAAGCCCCAACCCTCCTTGAGCAGTGCTTCCCTCCTATCACACAAGCTGAAATATGCCTTTCCATGTAAAAAGAATCATCATTACATGATGGTAGAGTGGAAAAGTATTCAGCTCATAGATAGACTTTTTCCAGAATTCAGGAAATCCTAGCAAAAGTCATGGAAAAAATCCTCTCAGAATATCATGCTCCTAACAGGATATATCAAACTGACTCACCATCTGGTGTGAGCTTCTACAGCATCTCTTATTACTGCAGATTCCCTTTAGCTGGTATCACAATATTCTTGCATTTGTTTGGATTTTTTTTTAAATATTAAAGGGAAAAACATAAAAATAAATTTAAAAGCTCAAAGTATCAATTTATAAACTAAAAACAACAGACTGAATGAACAGCAAACATTAAAAACCTGACAGCTAGTGCAAGTGATCAAAATAATGGTGTTTATTCATAACAAAAATGTTCAGGAAAAAAAATTCATTCTGAACAAAAAAAATGTAAAAAAAACCAAAACCAAACTGGAAAACGTCTACAAAAAGTTTTAGGAGATGGAGGGAAACTTAGGGTTTCCCCCAAAGTTCTCTATAGAAAATACTTACCTTTGTCCTTTATAGTCCATCTACAATGTACCTAATACTATATGCTCCAGCTCTCAAGCAGTAACATAATATCTTAAGTAATTAACTTTTTCAGCTAGATACTGGTAGTTAGAGGTAGTACAGGCTTTCACCTTTTGTGTACACCAAAATTCAAGTGAGGGACAGCAACTGTATTGCAGGCTAGATGGAAACCATTTTAAACTAATTTTTAACTAATTTATAAAGCAGATTTTTGTTTCAGCATGAAAAACATGTTAGCCTCTGTACATGAAGGATACTAAAGAAATCAAGCCTGCACTTTAGTTACTTATATCATTTTTTTGGTTTTAGTCATGAATCTGTAAACACTTATCTCTACCCCAATGACTTCAATATGTAAGCTTCTACAGGATCAAGACCTTGGTCACTGGTTCAAATGTTATAACTAGGGTATGTTCAAGTGACTAAACAAGTTACATCATAACTCTGCATACCCATTAAAAATAACTGTCTCTTCTATGAAGTTTACATAAATCCAAACTAATACATTATAAAAATGCAGCTAAAAAAATAGGGCAAAAAATAAGCAAGCTGTTTCTGTAAGGACAAGGAAATTCAGAGACTATTTCAGCTAAAAAATAGGGTAAAAAATAAGCAATCTGTTTCTGTAAGGACAAGGAAATTCAGAGACTATTTTTTCCTTCTAACTTCCAAGCATAAGCAAGAGGAAGTCTGAAGAAATGGAGTTATCAAAGTCACTTTCAAAGCAATTCATTTTAAACTGGAAATAGGGAACAATATTCTATTACTGGGGTTTCCTCCTCAGAGCTCAGACCATAGGCACAAATACAGTCTTTGGATATTTGTTTAACTGTATTTTTGATTAAATAAATTGTTCTTTACTGTTGGAACTTGCAAAGGCACTTAAGGAAGTAAGGAACTCAAATCCCTTTCAATGAGTGTTAGATGCCTATTTTCTTTAAGCTCTTTTCAACTCTCAAACTAGTTCTACAGTAAATGGCAACAACATTTGTTGACAGAGATGTTTACCTCTTTCTCTATATATGCAGACAAGTAGCTTCTGTTCAGTCATTTGTGACTACACGTCAAGATGCTGGCCTCACGTTACATATTTGACCTTTGCAAAAGATGAATTCTAACAGGTGCCAAATGTTAATTACAGAAACAGCAGGACTTACTGTGGATGCATCTTGTAAAGGGAACCATCCACACCCACCGTGGTACGCAGCCTGGTTACTCCTTTATTATCACGCAGTTGATTTAGAATTGCACCCAAAGTACTTGCCACCAGATTAGCAGAACGGAATGTAACAATTGTACAGACGTGCTGGACAGCAATGCAGTCTTCATGGGATGGTTCTACCCCAAGACGTGTCAAAATTTCTTTGGCTTTATTCAGACCTTCTTTGCTTCTACAAACAGGAATTTAAAGAGAGAACTCTCAAATATGAAATTATAAAATGCATAATTAAATAATGTGATCTGACATCAGGCACTTTGCCATGTGATGGTGTTCTGAGAGTCTGAGAAGGATGTTAAGAAAAGCAGTTAATGGCAATATCAGCCTACGGCAATCCCTCTATTAACTGGACTACAGAATTACGAAGTACGAAAAAAGGGGGAGTAAAAACAAAATAATGCTTGCTAAGAATATACAGCTTTTCAGTAAAGCCCAATGGAGATATATTGTCTACGAAATCATTTCTATCAGTGGAACAATGTAGTTTCAACAATTATGTCAGTACAATTATACGTGCCAAATTACTCATGTATATATAGTTAAAATGATATTCATCTCCTCAAATTTGTTTGCCATTGGCATCAAGTACATTTGCTGACAGTGTATTGTGTCTTAAGGTGTGTTTATAAGATGCATCTCCAACAGGGAACAATTCTTCACCATGCTAGACTATATAAGCAAGTCTACTTTCCACTGAACCTGACATAATTCAAACAAGTGTGAAACCAAGCCAAACTGCAGACAGCCGTATATATACACACTATTTGTAAGCATTACCTGATTCATGTTCTTGGGTAAGAGCAGGGTAATAAAAGCATGGAGAAGCTTGTGGAAGCCAGTCATTGGTCACAACCAAAGCAAAATGAAGAGGAGCAACCCCATTAAAATTCCTTTAGTTATTTGCCTCAAGGCAATAGAAAGCATATCCGCTGTAGACATTTACAGGCTTAGAGAAATTAAATGTCTTTATGCCTTAGTGAGTTTAAATTATAAACTAATTCAAAATTCTGTTTTATAAGCAGAGGCCTCAATTCCACAAGCTACTTAAGTATGCATGCATCTCTGAACATATGAGCAATCCCATACTCATATGTATTACAGCCGCTCCCCAAGTTACGACCACCTCCATTTATGACCATCCGCACTTACGACCAAAGCGGTCGTAAATGTAGATCCGAGTTACAAACAGCGATCCGCGCTTACGAACAGCGCAGTCGCCATGTAACTCTATGGGATCCGAGTTACAAACACTTCGAGTTACGGACCAAGTGTTGGTCCGTAACTTATTTGTAACTCGGGGAGCGGCTGTACTTGTCTGCTGAATTATGGCCAGGGTGAACGGATATGGCTACAGCTAAGGCTGTCTATGTACTTTTCATTCTAAAGCTTCTTTTTCCAGACTTCTATAACTTTTCAAACTATTGGCTTTCATGATGAAATTTTTTACAGTGGTTCTCATTGGTGGTTTCTAAACACAACAATATTTTTATTCTCTTCATTTACCTTTTAACTGACTATACATGCATGTGAACATAAGGTGGATCCATTTTCACTTTTATGTGGAATTGCTCATGGAATATGATCTGTAGATGTGTGTAGAGGAAAAGGGTTGGCTCCGCAGAAATTACTGATTGTTCCCACAATATCATACCAAAAATGGCAGTTTCAAAAAAATGAGAAGTAGGTTTTTAAAAATTTGACCAGGGGGAATATTATTCAGTGACACAAATTTTAAAAATGGGTACTGAAAGCCAAAAGTATCTATTGAAAAGATGTTAACATTGTAACATGCAAAACTTCATATTTTATAGTCAGTATAATATTTATCATCATTTACTGGATGGGATGCTCTGTATACTTTTCATGTTGATTTTATTTGTACATGATGGTACTGTGGAGTTTGGGAGAGTGTCTCACTTAAGCAAGCATTTACTGGGATGCACTGAGTAAAGCTTTCTGCAGGTTAAATTACATGGCAGGAGGAGCCTATATTTCTAGTACACCATGGTGGAGTACGTTCTAGTTGTGATAGTAGAGATAGTTTTCAGTAGAAACACCAACCACCTGCCAAGACTTGACAGTGCTTCAGCTATCCATAGGCATGCCAAAGATACACATTCTTCACTGTCATTACTACTCCAGAAAGCATAGTGGTTTAGAATGGCAAACTGCATCAGCACATCAGTATTTCTAGTGTCTGTTTCTGACCTCTCATTCCTGAAAAGAGGACAGCCAGCAAAATGCCAGAAATGCTGTCAAAACACCCGATACCAACATAAGAGGAGGCACAAGGAGCAAGTCACTCACTCAGGTAGTTAGGTCTGGGAAAAGGCAGTTTGGAAATAGCGGAGTGCCCCAGGGATGCTTGAACACCCCAGGACTTTAATACAGACACTGTTAAAAAAAGGAGTGTAATAAACTGGAGTGCCCGTATTACAAACCTGATCTGCATTTATACTAGGGCCCCCTTTACACCATTTTGACAGCATAAATGGCCTTTGCCTTTAAACACACTTTCAGGCCCCTTCATACTTTCCAGAGTGGTGTAAAGGCCTTCGTATACATAAGAATCAGATCCTGGATCTAATTTGTACTTGTTTTAAGTGTTAGTTCATTTGAAATCTAAGCCCCAGCTTCACTTTACACATTTGGCAGCTACAACTCAGAACTCTGGGTAGGGGCATTAGCCAAAAGGTTGGAGGCTGCAAGACTAAGTAGATTTATAGTTTACGGGTACTACTCATTCACATTGCAGTAAGGTAATGGTTGTTTCCAACAGCCCATCCAAGAGCCCACCCTGAAATTCCTTGTTCACGCAGCAGCCACTAAGATAATTATACCATCCTTTCCTAGCCGCTGCCAAACAAGAAAGGGGCAACAAACAATTACAAAAGGAAATGGTGGTCACCACACTGCAAACATGCTGATTCTTTTACAAGTCAGAAAAAAGAAAGCAAGCCAGGAAGGCGTCGCTCACTTTTCTATGGCAGACACGTGTTTCGTTTCAAATTTTCCTTTGGTTAAAAGCTCTGGAGTGATTCGCCCTTCAAATAGTAGCCCCTCCTTGGCCATCTTCACAAGGATAAGCCTGACCAGCTCACCCATGTACATTCCACTAACCATCTTCTCGAACCTGTAACAACAAACAAACAAAAATCCCACAAATTAAATATTTGCACAGTGAACTCGCAGATTCAGACATAACATTCAGGTTTAAAGCCACCTTTGATGCTTTTCTACTTTGTATCTTTTCTACTAAGAAGAGAAGCTATATTCTGCTATTTGCTACAATGTAGATAATATCACTGAATTATGACTGTTTAAGCATGTGACACACACAGGACAGAGCTTATGAGTGGAAAATGGCCTTATAAAGAGAGTAACCTTAGAGAGGCCAAAATGCATCTGCATAGAATTGTGGATGAAATTTTATCACTTGGATGATAAAGTATGGTGCCTGATTTGCATCTACAAGTTACCTTCTTGAACTACAATGCCTAGTGCTCTGGTCTGCACTTGCAAATACATGCAAGAGCAGAGCTAGCCTTGCTAAAAAGGAAGCTGGACTAAGGGCTGGCTGAAAATCTGGCCTGTTATGTACACAAAGGCCCCCATCATATGATACAATGAGAATTTTTGAGTCATCAGGTAACAGCTTTAAAAACAGTACTAATAATGTCACTGGAGAAATGTATAAAGGAAACAATTTATTATATACATACGTAAGGTTTTAAATATTTCTTAGTTTTAGGGTTTTATCCACTTATCTGCTCTGCATCAGACCAAGCATGAAAGGTTGAAAGCCTGACTGTACTGCCTAACATCCTAGATTCTTCTTTTTTCAAATAACAATGCTACTTTTAAGAGACAAGTGTCACTGCTACCCAGAGGCTACTGAAGCAGTCAGGGCCTAGCAATGAATGTAACCAAATAAACCCATTTAAACATAAATGTAATCTCCCCTTCTTATTGAAAGGCATTAAAAAAGTTCAGAATGTAAATCTGAAGACACTTTGGTAGCAGGACATCTTGATTGTGAACTTTTCATTGGGCTCTGGTATGGAAGGGAAATGTCCCCTGCCACAACTTGATAAAATTAGCAAGTTTCTCTGGAGGTAGATGACAGGGAGGGATCACGTGAGGATTACCTGTTGTGATCCCTCTCTCTAGGGCATCTGGTATTGGCCACTGTCAACAGACAGGGTACTGGGCTAGATGGACCTTTGGTCTGACCCAGTACGGCCGTTCTTATGTTCTTACGTAAATCTTACTGACACCCTCTCACTGCATTCACGCACACTCGTCACTTTATTTATTTATTAATTTTATTTAAATATTTTTACCTCGCCTATTTAAAATATTCAAACTGCTTACCAAAAAAAACAAAAAAACAAAAAAAAACACAATACAAATATATATAAAAATTTAAAATATGAGACCCCAGAGGGACATAACCAGCTAAAAACACATAGAGAGGAGGAACACACACATACAAACCCAAACATTAATAAAAGCACAAATAAAAAGGGTGGCTTTAGCCTGACGCTGAAACAACATTAGCGTTGGCACCATGCGAATATCCCAAGGAAGAGAATTCCACAGCCTGGGAGCAAAAGCTGAGAATGTCCTGTTCCGCATAGATGTTAATCTTATCTCCACAAGTGGGGGAACATGAAGCAGAGCCTCCCCAGCTGACCTCAATCCCCGGGCAGGTTCATATGGGAGAAGACAGTCCTTCAGATACCCCGGACCTCACTCATTTAAGGCTTTATAGATCATAACTAAAACCTTAAATTGTGCCCGGAAACATACTGGAAGCCAGTGCGGTTGCCAAAGCACTGGCACAATGTGCTCCGTATAACTAGTGTTGGTTAAAACTAGAGCAGCCGCATTCTGGACCAGTTGAAGTTTCTGAAAGCTCTTTAGAGGCAGCCCCACATAAAGTGCATTACAGTAATCTAGTCAGGATATAACAAGAGCATAGATCACCATGGCCAAATCATGCTTGTTCAGTAAGGGTAGCAGCTGGCGGATCAAAGAAGTTGCCCAAAGGCACTCCTGGCCACCGAAGAACTCTGATCTTCAAATGTTAAAAAAGGGTCCAGGTTGGACTCCCAAGCTGCGTACCTGTTCTTTCAGGGGGAGAGTAACCCCATCTAGAATAGGTGCCATGCTACATTGACGAACAGATGGCCTCCTGATCCACAGGACCTCAGTCTTATCTGGGTTCAACTTCAGCTTATTTGACTTCACCAAACCATCACTGCCTCCAGACACCGATTTAGATCAGTCACCGCCATACCTGGTTTTAATGTCACAGGGAAATAGAGTTGGGTGTCATCTGCATATTGATGGCACCATCCTTCAAAACTCTTTATGACCTCTCCCAGCGGCTTTATGTAGATATTAAACAGCATAGGGGACAAGATGGAACCTTGCAGAACCCCATAGCACAATCATCATGGGGTCAAATAGCAGCCCCCTAGCTCCACCTTCTAAAAGCGTCCCAGCAGGTAGGACCGGAACCACTGCAAAACAGTGCCTCCAATACCCAACTCTGCCAGGCGTCCCAGAAAGATATCATGGACAAAGGTATCAAAAGTCGCTGAGAAGTCTAAGAGAATCAACAGGGATGCACTTCCCCCGTCTATCTCCCAGCATAAATCATCTACCAGGGTGACCAACACTGTTTTAGTTCCAAAACCAGGCCTACAGCCAGACCGAAATGGATCTAAGTAGTCTGTTTCTTCCAAGAAAGCTTGGAGTTGCAACACCACTGCCTGCTCGAGTACCTTGCCCAAGAAGGGAATATTAGCAATTGGGCGATAGTTATTTAAGTAATGTGGGTCCAAGGAAGTCTTCTTGAGTAGCAGTTTTATCACGGCCTCTTTCAAGGCAGCAGGAACCATATCAGATCTAAAAGATGCATTAATAATCCCCTGGACTCAGCCAGTCAATCCTTCCCAGCTAGGTTTAATAAGCCATGAAGGGCAGGGGTCAAGTGAGCACGTGGTCGGTCGCACTCCTCTAAGCATCTTGTCTACCATCTTCAGTCTGCAATAGCTGAAACTGATCCAGAGAAAAAAAAAGACTGGGTGGTGCACTCAACACATTCTGTGCCCCCTTTACATAGGAACTGGAGTCCAAATCCAACCAGATGCTTTGCAAACAGATCACAGCAGGAGGCCAAACGCTCCTCTATTTTGTCATGAGTGCCAGACTGCAACAGGCCCCGCACTACTCAAAACAATTCCACTGGACGGCATTGTGTGGACGCAATACGGGTGAAGAAGTAGCTTTTCTTCTCTGTCAGCACCACCATAGAGTAATCTCACAGTTCAGCTCTAACCCACAGTCAATCGATTGGACTCAGCTCTAGTTCTCCTCCAGTGGCGTTCTAGCCATCGCACAGACTGTTTTGCTGCCATCAGCTCCCCAGAAAACCAGGGAGCAAACTTGGCTCGACTGGTCCAAAGAGGGCACTTAGGAGCAATCATATCTACTGCCCGGGCTACCTCGATGTTCCATGTATCGACTAGGGCATCTACAGGACCATTTGCCATAATGGCTGAACAATCCTTCAGGAACCTCAGGAAACCCTCCGGATCCATCAGCCTCTAAGGGCAGATCATCTTAATTGGTCCTCCGCCTCTGTGGAGGGGAAAGTCAGCAGATAGTCTAAACTTGACCAGGTAGCGATCAGTCCATGACAGAGGGAGTATAGCCACATCCCTGATCCCAAGAAGTCTATCACCCTTAGTCCAAAAAACCAAATTGAGCATATGACCTGCAACACGTGTTGGGTCAGTTATTTCTTGGGATAGTCCTAGGGTGGTCATGGTATCCATACAATCTTGGGCCAGACCGAACAGCCTCAGGGTGGATATTAAAGTCCCCCAAGACCAAAAGCTTTGGCGTCCTCAACGCCACGTCCGAGACCACGTCGGCCAGCTCGAGCAGAGCATCTGCCGTAAAGCGAGGTGGGTGGTACACAAGCAGCATACCCAACCTGTCCCGGCCACCCATCATCAAGTACAGACACTTGAATCTGACACTTTGTTGAACCAAAACCCTAGCCAGTGAGATAGTACCTTGACAGACAATTGCCTCCCCACCTCCACGACCATTAAGCCGTGGCTGATGCTGTACTGAGATCCCAGCCAGGCATAACTGGGAAAGGTCAACGCCTCCCTCCACTCCCAGCCAAGTCTCAGTGAGACAAGCCAGGTCAGCCCCTTCATTCAGAATTAAATCGTGGATGACAACTGTCTTCTGGGATACTGACCTGGCATTCAGCAACAGCACCCTCAGGGCCGATGGCCAGGTATAAAAGTTCCCAAAATTTTTAAGACTGGGAACAGGACCGGAAAAAGGAATAGCACGTAACTGTCTAAATCTCATTCCCCTTGGCTGGCCAGTCCAGATCTTACTTCCATATCTTCCCCTACAGGTCACAACTGCCATGATGCCATCTGAGCCCTCCTCCTTAGGCACCCCAGCTGTGCCAAACCACATAATGGCGCGGGAGCAGAACAAACACACCTTCAGTTTGGGTAGGTAAAGTGAACTTCCTCTCACCAAGAACCCTCGCCTGCCCTCCCTGCTCTCACCAAAGACTGAGTAGGCCATCTCACAACCAGGTGTGCTGCTCTCACCACCACACACAAACACACACTCAATTATAATCCGCCATCACAACACACACCCTCGCCCTTGGTCTGCCCCCCAAAGGGCTTTTAGGCCACCCCTGTTAATGGCTGCAAGCAAAACCTGCAGCTGAAAGGTCTAAATCGTAACGAGGCAGGCCTCTCACTCAGGAGCGAGGTGGTGACAGCTGCAACAGCTCTGCCTTCTCAGATCACTTGGTCCCAGCTAACGTCTGGATGCAGTTGTATCTACGATCCAGTGTGTCCACACTGTACAAGACAAAAAAATATCAAACACCACTGAGAGCAGAGGTTCTAAAGGCAGCATCTGAACATATCAGTGGAACAGTCAAAGAGGATCAGGATTCAAACAGGCAGAGCTGGGTAACAATGGACTCTAAATGCAGGAAATAACACTCAATTAGAACGGACAAGAAACTGCAACATGGTAACATGGGATGATATGGAGAATAAGGCCTGGTCTACA